CCACTCCTCGGAAGGAAGGTTGGGCAATCCTACTTCCGTAGTGATACTGCCTCGGAAACCCAAGGAGGGGTCGCTATGAGTCGGGGCCGACTCGACGGGAAATAACAACAACAACAACATATAAAAGGTTTTCTAGATGGGATGACTAAACCCACCAAACCAAATCTACTGCCATCAAGTCGACTCCAACTCATAACAACCCTAAAGGACAAAGTGGAATTGCCCTATAGCATTTCCAAGGCTGTAAATCTTTATGAAAACAGACTGCCTCATCTTTCTTCCACAGGGAAAGTTCAAACCACCAACCATTTGGTTAGTGACCAAATGCATTAACCACTGCGCCACCAGAGCTCCTTAGAAGATGACTACCTAAGGCTGAGGAAGGTGAGGGGGAGGAGCAGTACCAGCCAAAAACAGGATTGCTTCTGGAATTTGTATGTTAATTGTATACAGAGAACTTCAGAAGAGCCTCCTGTTTATGCTGAAAGTTACTGAGATTCATTGCTTAGGAGGCTTGCCTGAGGTTACTTGGCTCTTGAGGAGGCAAAGCTGGGGCTATAATTACCCCAGCATGGGCATACTCAGTTCCTTCCAAAGCAGAGAGGAAGGAGTGGTTGGGAGTGATCATTACAGAAATACAGTTGCATATCCCACCATGTGTTTTTAACAAATAAATAGATTCAGGAACCAGATGGGAATGAAATATAGGATAAGCTTCATTGCCCAAGACAACAGGATTTCTTTTGAAGCTGCTGGGCTGGAGAATGGGACTTGATGTCAAGGCTGAAATAGAGCTTCCTATTCTGTTCCTGGTGGTGTAGTAGTTAAGGCATTTGGCTGCTAACCAGAAAGTCAGTGGTTCAGTGGCAAGCTTTGATCTACGGGTGGATAGATGGGTGGACAAGCTGAATGATCAGGTATATCCAGGCAGGGGGGAGTGTGCCCATGACCATGTATGGGGTTGGCAGATGATGTTTCTACATGCGTGTTTGTATGTGCTGTAAGAATGTCTGGGTGTGTAATAGAGGTGACAAAGGACAAATTTGTGGTGGCTTCTTGGCCATAGCCAGCTACCCTGAGGGAATGAGTAATTGACCTGTGGGCTTGGGGATATCAAGCTCAATTGGCATAATATAATTCACAGAAACATTGTTCTACATCCTACTTTGGCGAGTAGCAACTGGGGTCTTAAATGCTTGTAAGCAGCTATCTAGATGCAAAAATAGACCTCTCTTCATCTAGAGCAAGGAAGAATGAAGAAAACCAAAGGTGCATAGAAACAACTAGTCCAAGGGACTAGCAGACCATGCTGAGGAGCCTATATGACCATGAGACCAAAAGAACTAGAGGATGCCCGACTACCACTGTGAACCATTTGAAAAGCAATCAGTGCAGGAAATCCTGGATAGAGTGGGAGAACAGTGTGGAACAAAACTCAAAACCATTTAAAAAAAATAAAATAACCGGTTTACTGGTCTGACGGAGCCTGGTGAGACCCCCAAGACTGTGGACCCTAGTTACCCTTGAGGTCTGGAACTAACTCACTCCTATGGCTTCCAGCCAAACTATAGACATGCATACAGGGTAAACATTTACATCAGGTAATCAGGTCGAAAACACTCCTTAGGGTGATCAGTCATGGGAGAACAGAAGGGCGGTGTTTGCACAGGGAGATAGCTTGGGGGTGGGAGTGTGTGGGAGAGAATGACACAGGGAGGAAGTATCTATGGGGAGAAGTTGGGAAGAGAGCTATTACATTGTGGGAAATTGTGGTCAATGTCATGAAACAAAATGTATATGAACTGCTATGTGGAAAATGAATTTGCTCTGTAAATTTTCATCCAATGGTTCAAGCCTACTAGCTGCTCCTCAGAAGAAAGATGGGGCAGTCTGCTTCTGTAAAGATTTACAGCTTTGGAAACCCAGTGGGGGTCTGCTATGAGTCAGAATTGACTCAACTGACAGTGAGTTTGATTTTTTGGTTTATTCTCTTTCTGGAGTCCTTGGGGGCAGGGGTGGGGTGGGGGCTGCAAATGGTTAATGTGTTTGGCTGCTAACTGAAAGGTTAGCAGTGTCCACTCTACCCAGAGGCATCTCAGAAGAAAGCCCTGGTGATACACTTCCAGCCATTGAAAACCCTGTGGAGCATAGTTCTACTCTGATGCACCTGAAGTTGAATGAGTCAGAGCCGGCTTGATGGCAGCAGCTTATTTTATTTGCGATTCTTGTTCTTTCCTGTTTCCCTAGCCTCACCCCAGTCTTGATCTTAAGATCTTCTTTTGGGGAGAGTTCCAGGTGGAAAACAGACCAGTGTTCAGTCACTGTAAGCTCTGACCCCTGTGAGTTCACCACCATAGTTCAGGAACAGAAGAGGGACAGGGACAAGGAACTCTCCACAGAGGGGGACACGTGGGAGAGAGCAAGCGTTGAGAGGCCAGGCCACTCACAAGCACAAACTGGTTTACCCAGAATCACTGACCAGCTCACTCCTTCCAGAGGAAAGAAATGTTGGCCAAAGTTTCTAGTCTCTGGAGAGAGGCAAGAACTTTTTTATTTTAATCACTGCATATATTTTAAAGAAGAATTTAAAGGTATTTGTTTTTTGGGTAGGACTATAATGTTAAATTCCAAAATTTAATCATCTCTGCATTATAAATCATAATATTTACCTTACCATTTTAAAGGTAATTTTTATCCATAACTGAACAACACATTTAATTAAGGGATTACAGACAACCAAAAGTTGTTGACTAGTTCTATTCTTTGTTACTACCTGTTATTTTGTTACTACCTGTTATTCTAGGTAAAACCTGTTTCTATATTTATCCACAGCATTTGACACACATATGCATATACGTATATAGATTCTAGTGAGGTGGTTTTGGGGGGTCATTTAAAAATTTTTTTTTTTTAATGTTTATTATTTTGATACCAATTTTTCTGTATATTTATTATAGCCAAGCTTTTTTTTTTCCCCCTCTAATCATTTATTTTGCAGCTAGCTTTTGTAAATTTAAACTTTGGTTTAAATTGGTTTCTTGTTCCATTAAATAGCAATTTACTAAGTTGTTAAGCTTATTTAGGTTTTTTTTTTTTTTTAAGTATCAATAATTTACTGAATTCTTTGTTTGCCTTTAAGTGAATTACAGAGGGAGTGGCTTTCCTGGGTTGTGGGTCTTTGTACAGTTAATACCCAGCTCATGTGGCTGTTCTCCATTACAGAACCATATGCTCCGTTTCAGGCCAGTGTGACCTTTCATTTCTGGGATCATAGGGATTTTATTGAACTTGCTCTCATCAGTCTCCAGTGGGCAGTAATCTCTGCTTATTATCCAGTCACTCCCGTTGCTGTGCTTTCCTCTAGAGTTAGCTTTTGATCTTCAGTCTTGCAGATTAGCAGTTCCTTTGTAGCATTTGGAGAATATAAGATTATAAACATAGATTCATTTTAAAACATTTTCCCCCTAGAGAGTGGTCAAGAACCAAATAAATCTTTAAGGTTTAACTATGTAATAATTACAGAAAAATAGGAGAGGAATAAGGCACACAGTTACCAGTTTTTAATTTGTTGTACATTTTGGTTAAGGTAATAAATTTCTTTACCAATGATACTAACATGAAAGCTACAACTCACTGGTGTGTATGGAACTTATGCTGGCTTTTCCAACCATTACCAACCAATTTTCTACAACCATTGGTCATTTTTTTAAAAGCATTAGAATCAGTTGGGAGGTAAGAACAAATGCATTACTTAAACATAGAGTAATTTTTTTTTTCCTTTTCTCTTATTAAAGGTTAAAACTGCATACAAGTGTGCATGTGTCTTACGAGATACGATAAATCCATACTTACTGCGAAGAATGAAGTCAGATGTCAAAATGAGCCTTTCTTTACCAGATAAAAATGAACAGGTCAGAAGACAAACATGGGTATATGGGTGGATAGGTGGGTGGACAGGCTGAACTATTAAGTATGTCTATGCAGTGAGGAGTGTACCCAAGAGCATGTATAGGGTTGGCAGACAATGGTTCTACAAGTATATTTGTATGTTTTGTAAGAATTCCCAGGTGTATAGTAGAGCTGACAAGGGACAAGGTTGTAGTTACTTCTTGGTCACAGACAGCTACCCTGAGGGAGTGAGTAGTTGAACCTGTGGGCTTGGGACCATAGTCTCAGGGAACATCAAGCTCAATTGACATAACATACTACACAAAACATTGTTCCACCTCCTACTTTGGCGAGTAGTGAGTGGGATCTTAAAAGCTGGCAAGCAGCCATCTAGACGCAATGATGTGTCTCTCCTCATCCAGAGCAAAGAAGAATGAAGAAAACCAAAGATTCATGGAAACAGTTTGTCCCAGCGACTGGTACACCATGCGATCCACAGCCTATAGGACTGTGAGACCAGAAGAACTAGATGGTGCCTGGCTACCACTGTCAGCCACTTGGAGGGGGATCTATGTAGAAGGTCCTGGATAGAGAGGGAGAACAATGTGGAACAAAACTCAAAATCATTTGGAGAAAA